TCACTCTAATGCACTCTAATGCCAAAGCTTTCTTTATGCCAGTTCGTAACCGGCCTATCTTAGTCACTACTGTTGCTACGCTCCTAAACCCAGACACAGCGTTCGGCAGTCAAGTAGAATTCCCTGCTAGGAAGCTGTCACGTACCCGTTGACAGCTTTGTCGTCTAGAGAGCCCTCCAGCGCCTTCGCCAGAAAGTCGTCGAAAAAACTAAGCTACCATCCCACGGCGCTTTTGGGGGCTATTTTACTCCGATTTCAGTTCCGGTATAACTCCCTGGGTCACTCGCTGTACCTTGACTAAACTATGTAAGGGCTACTTGATGCTCCTTCGCCAGCATCAACAGTGGCTTGAACCGTCTACATCTAATACCCGTGTCGATTGCGGCATCTCTCCGCATGACTATCGGCATCTTTTCGCCTGCGGTTCCCGGCGAGGCGCCCAACTCAACTTCGCGGACCTTTGGCTCAAGTCGGTTGAGGTCGTGGCTTTTCTCCGTCTTCCAACTGCAACCAGTTTGGACTGCGGCGGGAGTCTTGATCCAGCAAAAGCTACGACACACATCGTGTAGTGCTAATCAAGTGTTGAGTGTTATTAGATGTCTGCCTTTATCGTGAATGAAAAAGACAGTCACACAAAGTTAAAAAAAAATAAAACGGTAGCTAAGCACAGTTTGGTTGTTCTGATGGATGTCAATGATTTCCACTCGAGTTTAGGTCCCCATCAACCTCGCGTATTGAAATGAAGTAGCGCTCGAGTTCCTCTTCCGAGATGCTGTTAGGTGAATCGGAGAGCAAGTCTCGGCCGCCAGACGTCTTGGGGAAAGCGATAACATCGCGTACGGATCCGGAGTTGCAGAAGATCGCGACGAGGCGGTCAAGGCCTATACGTTGTCAAATGGCATACAAGAAATAAACATACCTAGCGCTATTCCACCGTGTGGCGGTGCCCCGGAGGACAAAGCTTCCAGCAGATGTCGCAGCTGACCAACGTCTTCCTACACTGTTGAGAAATAGGAGTAGTGCGCTTACTTTCAAGATTTCGGATAGAATGTAGCGTTGCATATCAGGACTGTGGATTCTCAGGGACCCGCCTCCAACTTCCTGGCCATTACAGACAAGGTCGTAATGCTGTCCGTGTACCTTTTCGGGGGACGAGTACAAAAGCTGGATTTCTGAGTCGATCGGCGCCGTGAATGGGTGGTGCTCGGATTCCAGTTTCCCTGGGGGTATTTGTAAGGAATTAATAAACCGTTTCTCAACGTACTAAACACTGACAGCTCTTCTTTATCCTACGAGTATAAGTGGGAAGGCGGTGTATGTGGCGGGTATATTTACAAAAAAAGCATATCCGTTACGACCTGGAGCATAAATAGTCAATTATCTGCATTTCATCTAGTGGCATGTCGATTCTCTGGTAAGGGTGAGAATATGCGACAGCAGGTGGTTGTCATTTATATGTTGACCATAAGCCTACTTGAGTTTGCCATACATAAGCGGTTAGGGAATCCT